AACCAGGACCAGAGGGTTCTGGGTTGGAGTCCCGGGGGAACCAGGACATTGTGTTTCAAGATTCTGGATGACGACAAATTTAATAATATAACATATAACCCGCCATCGCGAAACATAATTATGTAAAAAAAATCCAGCAGCTGTACGACACTGAAAAAAAACAAAAGGAGATGTACTGGTGGGACCAAAACATATCGCGCTGATCACTGGACTTCAGTTAGCAACCACAATTACCTTGGTAACACATCTTTACCAAGGTAATTACACATCTTTGACTGTGAATGGAAAAACTCCAGTCATTTGCGTTAGCGATGCTAAAAACGGAGACCAAGAAGAATTGGAAAAACAGGGTTTATTTTAACAAAAGGCTCTCTTAAAAGAGTGGATGTCCAGACAAAGTTTAAAAAAGGCTGTGGCAAAAAACTATGAACGAAGTAGCAAAGCAAGATTAACATGACTGAGGCAAAGTATCAAAGTGAGAGTAAACAAGGCTATGGCAAGATCAACAAAACTGTGGTAAAACAAGGCTATGACAAAAATGTGGCTATGGTACAAAACAAGACTATGGCAGTAAACTATGAACAAAGTAACAAAGCAAGAATACATGACTGTGACAAAACATGGCTGTGACAAAAACATGAACAAAGTATCAAATTAGGTAAACAAGGCTATGGCAAAAACATGGCTATGGTACAAAAACAAAACTATGGCAGTAAAGTAAACTAGGCTGTGACAAAATCAAACCTGAACATGGGGTGACGAAAACAGACGAAAGACAAAAAGTGAAGAAAACGAACTGGCACAGGACATGGGAAACGAGGACTATTTAAACACATGAGGGAGGGGAACCCCAGGTGTAACCAATAGGTAATCAAGACATGACAACACACCAGACATTCCCCCAGAAGGGACAGAAGGTGGGTGTTGATGGAGGACTCAGGCGCGGAGATGCAGAAAACAGGGTTTATTGTAACAAAAAACAGGTTAAAAAACAGGGCTGTGGCAAAACTATGAGCAAAGTAACAAAGCAAGGTTAACAAAACTGTGGCAAAATATCAAAACAAGACTATGGCAAAAGTACAAACGAGATTAACATGGCAGTGGTCAAAACAAGGCTATGGCAAAGTAACAAAATAAAGATTAACAAAACTGTGGCAAAACTATGACTATGGCAAAGTAACAAAATAAA